CACACACACACACACACACACACACACACACACACACACACACACACTAATGACCTAACAGACTCTTATTGGTGAAATGATTTAACCAAAAATCCCACAGCTCTTCAGTTATAGAATCAGGTAAAACTAGAAACAAAGCTCTTATTGCTCAGTTTACCAGAACCTTTTAATACCATTTTACTAACTATGTACTTTTACTATCAATTTGCAATATTGTCTCTGAGGATACACAATACAGGACTTCTTTGCTTTGCATTGCCAGTCTGAAAATTTAATCATTATATTCCCAGGTCTGCACCTACCTTTTAAACCTATTACTATTACATGAGAGACTCAGCAATTGCCAATTATTTGTGTCTCTCCTCAGAGGCATATTCAAGTATCAGTATGAGAGCCAGTAATCCCTATTTGATAGACTGAATCTAAATTATAATGTGGCTATCTCTATAGACTAAACTCTCTAATGATTTCTTACCTTTTTGGTTATCAGAGTTGTGATTACTCTGCTGTAATTATTTTGCAGTATTTTTTTTTGGGGGGAGGGGGTGGAAGGGTGGGCAGGGTCTCATGTAACCCAGGCTGTCTTCAAACTCATTGTATAGCCACATTATCTTCCAGCCTCCACATCTTGAGTTCTGAAATTACAGGCGTGAGCTACCATGCCCAATTCATGCAATGCTAAGGATTGGTACTAGGGCTTCATGCTAAGCCCTACGTCTATGAACTGAGCTACATTCCCAGCTCCTTGGTGGAATTCTTAAAGCATAAGTGACAAATAGCAAACTACATGTTGAAAACATAGAAGTTGATGGGTTTTGTTATCTGTAAGCACACATGATGCTCTGCAGGCTGATGACTACCACTTAAGTGTTTTTCATATCACCTTATAGCACGTTACTCCATTCCAGTTCTTTCTTGCTAGCTTCCCTTCTCTTTTCCACTTGCCTGGGTAATATTAAAAGGTTTCAACCAGAGAAGTGGCCAGTTCTCAGGATCTGAGCCAACAGCGGAAAACTTTCCTTGGGCTTTACTTCCTTCTCTATCTGGAAACAATCCAGGTTCTCTCAGTGAGCTTTCTTTGTAGTTGCACACAAACCCTAAGATAATATCAAGGGTGTTGAGTAAAGCATTTGAAGACTGAAACACTGAACAAATTGCAGACTCTTCTGCAGTATGCAAATCATTTGAGGATAGAAAAAAAATAGAGTGCATAAATTTGAAAAGTAATGAAAAAGAAAACATCCCTCCCCATTTATCCCACTGACCACTGTTGGTCATTTGTTGAGTTTTCATTTCTGCCTTGCCCCTCCCCAACCCCCTTTCTTATTGAAGTACTTGGAGTGCAACCTTTGAGCTTTGGTGTTATCATTCTTCTGTCTACATGCCTCCAGTATATACCACTGTAATGTAGCCATAAAAGTAGGGGGTGTATCCTTTTCTTAGCACTCAAAGAAATAATAAACATGTCTTTTCAGAGAAAATTCCTTTAATATTCTATTAAGAAAAAAAATTCAGTTTCTTTCACAGTCTAGAGAAATGGAGAAACAGAAAGAAAGGGCAGCTTCCAGGTAAATATGATGGTTACAGCCAAAGGTGTCTCTTTTATGTATTAGGAATGAGTTTGGACTTATTATTCCAAACAGAAGAAGATTACCCTCTATAGGCAGAGGCCCTCATTAGCATCGGTAATTGTCTTATTTGGAAAATGAAATGGGGATAATTGATACATTCCTTATAAATGTGTTGTAAGGAATATATTTCCAAAAGGACAGGTCAGAAATGGAAGTTGTTTTTTTTTTTTTTTTTTTTTTTTTCTTTAAATCTTTCAGCACTAATTGATATACCCTCAGTAGGAGCCATGGAACTATAAACTCCTTTTCTGACATTTTCTTAAGGACTGGGTAGACACAGTTCTTATTTTCAGTTCCCAAACAGATCATTGTGACCTCTTTAAAAGGGAGGCTGGCTTAATCTTTGGCCACTCAGATGTGTGAACAGGGCACTGCGCCAACACCACAGAAGCCTCAGGCCACCCTGCTCACTGCGGAACTTTTGATTACTTGGATGTGTACTTTTAAGTGGTGAACTTCAGCTCTTTGAGAGTTTCAGGTCATTTATTCTGTTGACTAGCTATCTGCCTTGCCATCAACTCCGTTAACCAGGCCTGTATTGTGATTTCGTTGTATTGACAAGACTTGAAATGGATACACCTTCTAAGTTGTATGGTTAGGTAATTGATTGTAGGTGAGTATTATTAGAAGGCAAAAAATATCTTTGCTTTATTAGCCAGTGGCAGTGGATTTGTAATCACCTCCTGATGCTGTTTTACAAAGTTAGCTTGTGAAGAAAACTGGCCGTTTTAAAATTACTCCTTGAGAAGGTATGCAGAGATAAATTTCTGTTTACCTTACTCCTATCCCCTAATAAGACCACGAAGATGCTCAGAATGAAGTAACAAGGGCATATGCACAAGCAAGTTTTTGAAACTGTGAACTCAGTTTCAAGGGCTCTTGAGTCTAGACTTTAAGTAGCAAATCTTATCACAGAGCTCTCTGCCCAGCCCCACATGACAGCATGGAATAGGAGTTTTCTGGGAACAGTTTCTGAATGTTAGAGTCTTCTGAAATATCCCCCAACTCACTATGTGTGTACTTGTTTGGAATTTTGTCTTATAAGGAATATATCCAACCTCAACTACCTTGCTGATATCTTTGAGGCCAAAGAGACACTACAATAGGAAGAGTACTTCCATTTCGCTGCTCCTGTTTTATTCAGAGACTATGACCTGCTGTATCTCAATTGGCTGAAATCCACGGACAGCAGAAGGAGTGGTGAAAAAAGTGTTAGGCCGTTCCCCAGGGCTGATGGAGCCAGAGTCACTTTGCACGGAACCTCCACTGTTCTCAAACTGGGAGATTTTCTTTTTGATCATCTTTCTCTCCTTTGCTCTTCGGTTCTGAAACCATATTTTCACCTGAAACACAAAATGCTTTACACTTAATGGGGGCAATGCCTTGAATGTAGGCAACACAGCGAGTACTGGCCTTCCAAGGCCCTTTCATGCACATCACTTCACTTGAGCAGCATGGCCTTGTGAAATGTACCCATTTTAATGATTCTAAAATTCTGTGGCTCAGAGGGTGCCGGTGCTTTGTAAGAAATGAGAGTGAAGCCATTAAATCCAGGATTAGGCTTTGAATGCAGAGCTCTCTATATTACAACTCACCTGCATTCTCTGCTACATGAGTACAAATAATTACATAGTGACTCAGAACTGCTGATGAAAAAGAAAGATTTAAATAGCAACAGTGATTACGATCATTCATTAAGAGAAACTTCCTCACGTTAAAAAGTTGGCTCCTAGCACTTCGTGAACAGGGTATGAAATACCATCTATGTCTTGTTGGAAATCAACACCAGAGTGGTACTGATATGTCTACAAATGGTTGCAATGCAAAGCGCTTGAGATAAGGCAATGTATTATGGACTTCACTTTTCCAGACTTCTATGATTCCCCCATCACTCCTAGACAGCAGGGAAAAATCACCAGGTGCTCAGGAAGTTGTAAAGTCTGAATGAATGGAGACTTCTGACCTTTGCTGTAACTTGATCTTCACTGAGTGCTCATGTAAGTTAAGCTCGAGGCAGGCATCATAACATCGTATAGATCAGAGAAGATTACATTTTAAAATTTTGAACAACAGAAAAACCCCATCCACATGTAGTTTAACGGGTAGGAAGCAGACAGCTGCCACAGTTGTGAAATTTCTACTTCTCACACGAATTAGTACTCCTTGAGGGACCAGAACAAGGTTTGACTTGACTAATGAATTATGCTGGAATCCTAATCTCTTTGAACTTCTCTGATAGATTTCTTGCTCTCAGGCCCACATGATGCTCACCTATTAAATAGTTAACAAATCCACTGGCTAATGAAACAAATAGGCTGAGTGTGGGTTTAGGAGTGCTCAGAAAAACATCTGTCCTCTGTTTTTGTCTAAACCTCAGCCAATTGAAATGACTGTGTGGGAATGTTTGGTAATACCTGTCTCTCAGAAAGACCCAGGTTAACTGCCAGCTCTGACTTCCTCCGGATGGTGATGTATCTGTTGCAGTGAAATTCCTTTTCTAGCTCCAGTCTTTGATGATCAGTATAGACCACACGATACTTTTCCTTTGTCCTGGTTTTTCCTGTTAGGGGAGAAAACATGACATGTCATCTTATTCTGCTCCTTTGGAGATTATTTGCGTTGAAGGAACCAGTTACTTTTCTTACTTTCAGTTATTACTTTAAAATATAAAGCCATTGCATTTTTAAACAAAATATGTCATGTCTATTTCACCTGTGGCCATGATATCTATACTAACTGGATGTGTACATAAACATCTGGAATTCTACCATATATATGAAACAAACATCTTTTTAATGTTTCTCCTGAAACAACCTGTCAAATTACAGCTACTCTACCACTGACCTGTTATACCAAAACATTTAAAATACTTAAACACTCAGTCCATACTTTTCATTACATTCTCATCTACATATAACAATTGAATTAACAGTAATGGCAGCATCCACCATGGAATTGCAGTGTTTTGCTGTTGTTGCTGTTATCATTGTTTTGTTTTGTTTTGTTTCTATACAGGGATTCTCTGTGTAACAGCTCTGCCTGTCCTGGAACTCAGTAGACCATGCTGGCTTTGAACTCACAGAGATCCATCTGCTTCTGTCTCTGCTGGTGTTAAAGGTGTGAACCACCACACCTGTCCCTCATGAATTACATTTTATGCAATTCTTTCATGACTATTTTCCCAATGTATTACATATTCTGTTAAATTATGCAGAAAATGACTTCTTTCCATTGTATAGACAAGGAATACAAGCTTCAATATAGGTAAGTGAATTTGTGCTGGTGAGCTCAGGAGTGTAAACCTAAGGATGTCACTTTGACTCTCAGTTCAGTATACTAGATTTATTCACAGTTTAAACCTGTTGGGAAGTGTAATCCCAAGTGTGGCAAACTATTCTCCAATTCTGACGTTATAGTTACGTGTACTACCTAGAAAGAATTTGTATAATTTGGAAAGAAGATGTTTATTGCTGCTTAGCAAATTATGTTTCAAAATAGCTCCTATTATTTATTAGAAAACATAATATTTTTCCTGTGGGAGTCTTAAGGCTTTTTTTTTCCCAAGTGAATTGGAAATGGGGGAAGGAGTGAGTATTGACCTAGGCACGCTCTTTGAAAAGATATCCAAACATTTGGTTTGTTACAATATCTAGCTAATTTTTTAGGCTCCCCTTGAAATGGAGTTTTATTCCTCCTTTCAAATTTTCCAAAGGTGATTAGGAAGTTTCCCTTTCTCTTCAGTTTCTCTAACCCCCTCTAGGATCTTGCTTCTTTTCCTCTGCGGCTTTTAGAAATTTCTTCTGATCTTTGATTGTTTTTGATGCGAGGTTTTGGAGGGAGACCTGTAGGACAAAGACTTCTTTAAAGTGGGTCCCTAAAGTCCATTGAGGTGTTAAGATGCAGCACAGGCTTAACAAAGGAGCTACATAGCATGGATCCCATCCTGAACCCTCTTTACATTCAGGAACACCAACAAATTGCCTTGGAATTTACAAGCCCTAAACAAATGCCAGACACCCTTTCATCTCCAGGAACAGGATGGGGCATGGATGTAGAAACAGATCTACCTTAGGAGTCAGCTATGTGCCTGGATACCTTATGGGCTACTCAGTGAAATGAAAATTCCATCCCTTGAAGTGATGAGCCCTCAGTCCAGCAAATTAGCTTTCCTCAAATGCCTAAACTTCTAGTTAGATTTCTGGATCCTTACAGGAACATTGGAAACTGGGGATCTGTCTTTTGACATATTACAAAGACAGAATGTATACTGAAGGATGAAAACAACAACCTGAGGTTAAATTTGTTTTCAGGACCTCAAATTTTAGAATCAACATATATCTTGAGGAGACGTTTTCGAAAACCCTTCCTGATTGAAAAGGGACTGAGAGTTTACATTTTAACTTGAAGCAGAGAGGTTAAAATTCAACTTGTGTGTGTCTGTCTTCAGTTCAGTCAATTAATCAGTAAATATAACCAGACTTGAAGAACTCTGGAAAAGTTGTGGTCTTTCCCCACCCCCACTGGTCATAAATTCCCCTCTTGCAGTTTCTTCTGAAGACAATAAAGTCAAGACCAGGCCTCTTTATTTGCCATGAAAATGCTCACCCTTTCCGGCAATATAACCTCCGGAGAAAGGAGCAATGAGAAGAGCCTAGATGCATATCAAAGCTAAACAAGTGTTAAAAGGGGTCCTGTAGGCCCAATCTGATAGATAAGACCTAAGATTCCAAGAAGACAGGAAAGCATACTACCTGCACAGTTTACCAAGAGAAATAAATTGAAATTTCCTGTTGCTTGTCTCGCGCTGTCTTCTTAGAACCACATCTCTTTTACCCCATCGCCTCTTCCCTTGAGATGAGTGAAGGGACTTGGACATTTCTAGTGGAGCATAATGTCCATATTCCCCAAACTAAAGCCAACCACCAACAAAGTACGGAGAATACTTGTTTCTATTAAGTTCCTCTAAAGACAAGGACATTTTGAGACCGGGGGATTTCCTTCTCAGCTGATCATCTGAGTTAATTTAGAAAAGGGGAAAAGTCTAAGATTTATTAAAGAGCTACTTCCATTCCTCTGAAGTAAGAATTTTGTTACTTTGCCTACAAAGACTTGGACAAACACCTCCATTGCTCATAGAGGTTCTTCCGGCTACCCAGAAGGCAGTGTCCTCATAGCTACTAAGGCAATGTCAGAATATAGGATGACATTGTCACCATAAGTGTGGTTGAAATGGTGTTCAGGGGAGAGACTAGCAGCCAAAGTGATGCTAGGCAGAAAAAGCCCTGACAAAGCCTTGGGATCATGATAGTGATGGCAGTGGAGGAAGATGATGAAAGTCAGTTTTCTTACATTGACAGTACCACCATGATGACTTTTCACCTAATTGCAGTCCTTTACTGCTTTAAACTCAAAATCACATCCAAACTCATTTAAGAAATTGTCCAACGAAATATGAAAAACCAAGGAAGACTATGACAAGCCTCAAGGATTATTAAGCAATTCAAGTTATGAAGTGCCCTAATTGATTATAGCCTTTAAAGTGTTTCCTTAGTGGAAGTGGCTTAATCAGAATCAATCAAAATTCCTTCCCCTCCTTTTCTAAACAGGGAAGCCTCTTTTCAGCTCTGCTTAGGACGAAGCCTGGCCAATACTCATACAGTGATAAAGTTCTGTACTAACGAAAACAGTGAAAAAAAATGATTTGTTCTCACACACTGACATTGTCTAAAATGTGACAGTGCATGAAAATATTGACATGCATAGAAATTTTTGGATAAGATAGATTGCGTGTAAAGTTCTGAAATGACATGTTTGGAATAGAATACTAAGAAAACTATGCAGACAAAAATATATGCCTTTTCAAATCAGATTATCTGGAAGACAGTGATTTATTCTATATGTCAAACTCCTTGCTTTCATTAGAAATCACAGCTGTAGTGAGTGCTACACACACACACACACACACACACACACACACACACACACACTTTAATTTAAAAGAAGAAACGTTCATGAACTGCCCTAATGTAGGGAAGGGCTACTTCCTGTATGTTGACTACAAATTTTTCCTTTTAGCCCTAAACCCTATGTTGATGTACAGTCCTACAGGTGAGCAGAAAGCTTAGGAAGATATCATTCATTCATCATTTAGCAAACATTTAACACCTGCTCTGTTTGCTAAGCATATAAAAGGGTACATTTTGGTCCAGACTATCCAGTGGGGTAATGACATTTATTTTTGTGGAGTTTATGGCTTGGTATCATGAAAGAGATTCAGAGAGCCTAAAATCTCCAGAATTTATGCAGAGCATTCCTTAAGTGTCTGCCGTGAGGGGCTCTTATGCATAGTCATCATTTTCTTAAATTGTTGATAAACAACCTGGGCTACAAGAATATAGCAAAAGGGTGGTGTTAACTTATAGGGAATTCAAATGAAACAACTGTTGAAGTTAACAAAGCTTCATCTATAGGATGAGTTGCCAAGAGTCCAAGGACTTGCAATATATCACTTTTAGTTTTAAGCTTCTCCTAAACACTGAAGAGGAAACTTTGCAAAGGTGGCATGATTAAGCCAAGTTTGGTGAATGGATGTTAAATTTACTCCCAAGATTAGCTGTAACAACAGCTTTGGTGATGAATGCCCTACCCTAGCCCCATTTTTTAATGCTACATGACTCATCTATATTTTCTTTTTAATGCTGTTAACTACCACAGGTCTTTAAGAAAGTTGTTAAGTGTTACTTTTAACTTGGGCTCTCCACCCTAGTCATGAAACTGGAGCGTCTTCCTCCTTCTGCCTGAAAATTCTCCTATCCTCCCACCTTCGCTTACGTGGAGGAAAGAGAAGCAAAAATGCAGAACTGTGAACCGCGTAATCATTGTGAATACTATTGGAATATCATTGCCTCCCCAGAGGGATGAATGTGATATTCAAATGCTACTAATTTTCTCTTATGACATGGAGCAAGTATCGGAATAGTAAGAAAGTGATAAGAGAACAACCACAGCTGGAAACACACGTGTCATCTTCCAGTTCACGATTAAAGTGGAGTCTTCGCTTCCTCTATGCGCCTCCCTCCCCACCAGCTCGCCTCGCTCCCCACCAGCTCGCCGCTCCCTGTGGTTGCCCACCAGGGCTTGCGGGTCAGCGACATTAGAACTTAAACTGGGATTCTTATGCCATCTCGTGTGTTAATCCCGGTTGCACATTTGCATTCTGCCTCTGCCGTTTGTGGACACCTGCTAGAATCGCGATGAGGGCTTTAGACACTTAGGGGCCTTATAATAGTACTCGTATCGGCTGTGCGCCTGGCAGGTGTAAAGGTTGTGTCGTATGAAATGACATCTCGGTGCTGTAACTTCGCCCACCTCAACGCCTCCTTGGAAAAAGGAGATAGGCTTCATATATTGCTAATTTGGTGAAGGAAGCCGCAGCTTCCTCGGGCGTCTCTGCCGTGGAAGTGGTTCGCTGGACGGTCGGTTGCCGGCTAAGTACCCACTAACTTGAGCATCACCAGTTTTCAGCGAGTCTGCCTGCACACCAGGGTAGGCAAAGACTTGGAGAGGAAACCAGCTGGCGTAGCGACAGCCTCAGCTGTCCTTTCACCCTGTTCATCGCACGTGCTTCTGTTTTTCCATCGGGACGACAGGGTTGGATTCCCCCCCCCCCCCCCATCTTTGTGGTTCATTGAGAACTCTGTCCTTACTTCTCTGGGTGCTCATTAGGAGTTCTGCGCTTATCCCCTTGACTGCTCCGAGTAGGGTAAAGGCAAGCCAAGCCAAACCAAGCCAAACCAAACCAAACCAAACGAACACAACTAAAAGCCCCCGAACAACCCGCAGGAGAGGTTTACTTTGAGCCGGCTTTGAACCTAGGCGGAAAGGTGGGAGGTACTTAGCCAGCTAACAAGCTGTGCTGTGGGCTGCTTAGCTGAATTCTCCTGGGGGACTGGGTGTGAAGACTAAGAGGGCGGGCGGACCAAGGGTAGACAAGGGAGGGAAAGAACAGCGCGGGGATGGATTACTCACCGGTCACCTGCACAGTCTTGCGCATCCACGCGTAGGGGCTGTGGCGGTTCCTGCTGGGAGAACTGGCGCCGGCTGTGCCTGAGTCGATGGAAACTAGTGACTCGCTGGTCAGGGCTAGCAGGCTACCGCTGTTGCTTACACCGCCGGTAGGGCCCAGATTGCTGTAGTCTGAGGAGCCGAAAGCTTGGGAGCTCGAGGTCATGTCGTTCATAGGCACTACGCCCATTGTACTGGATGGCCCAGGGTATGTACTCCAGTCTTCCCGGGGTGGACTGTAGGGTGAGCTCCATGCTCCCAGCGAAGGCCCGTGAGGATTCATGTTGGGCATATGAGGATACCCCATGCAGTGTGGGTAAACTGAGGCTGCGGTAAAGTTGGAGGTAGGCAGCGGACTACAACTGTCCCCAGAAGTGCCCACTCCGACTGTGCTGCCTCCTCCGGGGCTCCTGAGAGTGCCTGGGTACATGCCTGCTTCTTTTTCCAAAAGGCAGCTTCCATACATGTTGGCTTGGAATAGCAGTTGCCCCTTAAGCCATCCTGAGGTCCCTGCAAACTTAGAGCCAACCGGAGTTCGAGACGCAAGAGACACTTGTTCGAGAGCAAGGTCAGCACTCTGCTCCCCTAGGACTGCTCCATCCTTCCTTTCCTACCCCAGGTTTCCAGGTAGTGGGCCATAGGAGGGCCACCAAAGGCTGGGCTGACGTCAAGGGGCTTCAGGCTTTTACATAGCATTTGCATTCAAATGAAGGGAGGTTTCAGGTCTACAGGAACTTGTTCACTCTAAGCATCTTCTCCCTGGCTCTTCCCCCCCCCCCCCCCCCCCCCCCCCCCCCCGCCTTTCTGTGCCGCTTCCTGGAGTCTGCTTTCTTAGCGCGGGTTTTGCGCTTTTGGAGCAGCTGTTCCTCAAGAGATTTCTGAGCAGCTTCTTCAAAACGAGACTAAGGCACGCAAAGTCTTGATGTTCTTTCACTGAGGCCTGTCCTTCACTGATCTTCCAGAGCCCAGCCTGCTCTCCTGGTTTCCCCCTCTGCCCATACTCTCCTGGTATGGATTTTCCTCTTGGCACTGACCCATTGTGCCACTGTAAAGGATGTACCCTTCTCCCACACACTCCTCTTTGTGTCCATGGACAGATATTTGTTTCACAAATGTATAGTCAGTATTCACAGTGTCTCAGGAACTGTTGTAGGCGCTGGGGATACAGCACTAACAGACAAATATTTCTACTCCCGCTTTCTAAAGTTACGCTCCAATTGGATGGAAGGCTGAGTTAGTTAGACGCTTAATGCACACATTAAAGAATAATGAGGCGTATAGGCTATGAAAAAGGGAGGGAGCAAATGGATGGCACATTGTCCGAACTTCTTATTAATGTCTTAGTTTAAAACTCTGCTTCAAAGTCAGTGCCCTGAAGGACAGGAACTCTTGCTGTCTGAAATCCATAGCAGCTGCAGCAGACTTGCAATTTCCTTCCAAAAGTGGGAGCTAGACAAGCACTCCACCACCCATATCCCAGACCCATTCACCCGTTTAAAAATAGAAACCCTAACTGTATCTACATAACAAGGCAGGATTCACTAAGGTGATGCAGAGCATGTAACCAGCTCAACTGCTGTACTCGTTCATTTATTCATTTACACATTTTTGTATGTGCTGGGACATAAAACAGATTTTAATAGTTTGTGCAACCTGCTTCCTGACCCCACTTCCTCTGGTAGACTTCTTTTTTGCTGGTTGGTTTCTTTTCAATGACTACTTTCTTGATAGGTGTAGCTTTTCCTGCAAAGGCTTCCCCTCCCCATCCATCCATCTATCTATCTATCTATCTATCTATCTATCTATCTATCTATCTATC